GGTGGGAAACAGTAGTATGCGGGTGGCTGTAGTTTTGGAGAGGTAGAACAGCCTTGGTGATCGCTTTCAAGGTGAAGTTTTCTCTCTAAGTCTCAAGACAGTTTTCTGCACCTTGTTGGACAAACTGAACAAACGGCTTCTTTCCAAGAACTCTCCCAAAAACGTTGAGTGCAATCGTTTCCACTCTAAAAAAAATGTTGTTGATGGAACTGGTGCATGTCCAGTGCATCCCTGTTTTCCCCTGATTCTGGATCAGCTGGCATGGAGCCAGAACAGGAGTTTAATGCTCTGACAGCTCCAGATGCAAGGGCTCATCACACCTACTGTAATGAGGAGACGCAGGACAGTTATGCTGAATTGCCAAACTAAGCTCCTTGTAGTCTGAATACAGACATTTCATGTTTGTTCACATTCTGAGGTATCGTTAAGGAGGGTGTTATTAAACCTGCAGTCCAGAGAATCTGGGATGTTTGTTAACTAAATAAAGCAAAAGCAAATCCAAAGGTGGTATCTCTGGTGAGCAGACCATGCAGTTTTGGTCTTCCGTTGCAATCCCAAACATTACAGAAGAATTTTCCTAAGACTTTACCTCCAAGGTTTTTTTTTGTTTTGGTTTGTTTTTTCTGCTTTTGAGCTTTGTATTGTGTATGTGGCTGAAGAAATGGGCTGAAGGCAGGAAGTAAGATGGCTAAATTTATAAGTGCATGGTTAAAAAGGTTTTGGTCTCATTCAGTGGTGATTTGCCAACAACCACTAGGCAATAAAAGACAGAGATTATCATTTATTTGTTGGTGCTTAGAGGTCAGTGTTGCCAGTTCTGACATTCCTTCTCAAAATGAATAGGGAAAATAAATTGAACCAAAAATGTAATCCGAATTTACGGAGAAATCTCTCAGTTCTGACTGAGAAGAAAGGAAGGTTATCCTGAACTGGACATAAGGCCAGTACGGTTTAAATGCTTTTCATAATAATGCATTTATGTGTCCAGAAGTTTTCAATTTTAGTATTAAAAGAAAATAAAATAAGCCTATTAGTTCTCTCTTTACTTTAACTGCAACTTTCACTAATCTCGACCAACCTTTCACTTTGTACTAAAAATCTCAGCCATCTTATTAAAACTGACAGAAAAAAATGTAAATACATAGAATGCTAAATGCCTTTTTTTTTTTTCTAATGTGTAGCTGGTTTTTTTGTCAGCAGCATGAAAATTGCTGTATGTGAAATCTGCAGGTTTCATTGCACCACTGTAAAAATTGTAGGGGCTGATAAATAAAAAGTGTCAAAACTCCACAGTGCTAGACCAAGGCTACCTGGAATGGCTACCTATCTCACTAGTCCTAAAAACTAAAATTAAATCCAAAGTTTCCAATGAGATCAGAATTCCTGTGCATTCAGACTGCATTAAACCAATAACGCTGAATCTGGGGCAGTTTAAAAATGTCTTAGGGTGGTTGGCAATAACTAGTCATGAAACATTATTTCACTAAATTTTACTGTTCAGAAAAATAAGAACTTCACCAGTATTTATGTTTTGTTTTGGTTTTTTTTGTTAAATATCAGTCTGCACCAAGCACTGTGACAAAAAGTCTTCAGTGGGTGTTTTCTTGGTATCTTGTTCTGTGGAGAATGTTCCCATTTGTTACTGACAACCATCCTAAGACATTTTTAAACATAACATCAAGTAAAATAAATTCGGATATGACCTTTGGAACAAATTGCTAGAGAAGAAGACCAGAGTGTTGCCTGACAGTGTGTGAGAGAGGAGGACCGCTGGCAACAAAAAACAAATTCCCAGACTAAATGGAAGAGGAAAGCATGTTGCCCTTATACTCTTCTCCCTAGCCTGAAATGCAGCTACAAGTTTCTCAGTTAATTGTAGCTTTATTCCAATGAAATCAAATGCAAACATTTGACTCTGAGTATACTGTGATTTAGTAGGGCAATCATGCTTTAGATCAAATTAGCTGTAATATTTCCAGTACTACTAAGAAACTAATACTGCCACTTCCTTTTTCTCTCCTTATTAACCACAGACCACTCTCTATTGGTTTTCTACATGGTAAAATTCTCCCTTGAGTTTTTGAAAGGCATGTGCTGGAACATACATGCGGCCCTGCACAGCGTGCTGTATGGCAGGCACTGAAAGAATGGCAGGACAAGGACGTTAACTCCTGGCTCAGCACTCACTGTTGCTGCACAGTTGACTGGCTTCCAATGAGCAGCACCCTTTGCAAATGTGGTTTAATCTGTTACGTGTCCACAGATGAGATACAGCTCATGGCTCTGATCACCTCTTCTCTGAACACATACAGGAGAACTAGACACAAAATAAAGTGACAACAATTATGAGGCATGTGGCACAATTTCTGTATGAGAACAGACAACACAGATGAGGACTGAGATTGATGGTGGAAAGGTACAGTTGAATAGTGGTTCTTAGATCCTCCCCATCATAGACCCCCTTGTACAGTGGCTTTCAAATTGGAATGATATTCCTGAAGTATTCACTTTAGGAGGAGTTAAAGCATGTGGAGAACGGTGATCTGGCTGATATAATCTACTTGCATTTCCAAGAGGCTATTGACAAAGTTTTGTACCAAATTTTTTTCAAGGAAACTAAGCAGATAGGGGATAAGAAAGAAGGTCATGGTGTGGAGATGTGTTTAAAAGATAGGACAGAGAGGGCAACAGCAAAGGGTCAGCTCTCAAAGGGAGGTTACAAGTGCAGGGATCTGAGTTGTTGAAAATGATCTGGAAAAGGATATGAGCACTGAGGTTGAGAAAGTTTGCTGATGATACAGTTTACTCAGGGGAGAGGGGACAAGGAAAGCAGATTGTGAAGAGTTCTGGAAAAATGGTTGAGTGACTGCGCAGTAAGATGGGAAGTGAAATTCAAGTTATGTAAAGAGGTGCACATGAGGAAAAAAATTACCCTAAATTGATGTATAAAATAATGTCGCCTGAGCTGACCATTACCACTGATGGCTAAGATCTAGGGTTACAACAGATTAAAAGATTAGCTAAAGCAAATGGTATGTCAGAGATTACTAGGAAAGGAGCAGAGAAAGTCATATGGATCCAAGAGTCACGGAGTTGACTCTGCATGTGCTTCTCGTCCCCTCTTCTCAGTAATGGGACAGTGAGACAGTGAGTTCAAAGAAGAGCAGCAAGGGTGATCAAAGGCCAATGCCTTCTCTTGGAAGAACAACTGAGCAGGACAGGACTCCATGGCCTGGGAAGGAGATTATTTAGTACGGGAGGTGATACAAATCTACAAAACTCTAAGCACTGTGTAAAGGAATGGATAGGACTAATCATTTAATGTAGACTGGGAGGAATCAAACAAAGCTACTGGGAACCAGATGCTTCACCCTCCCCAGGATCCTTCCCTGCTCCAATGCTTCATGCAAGGAAAAAGCTGACCCACTGAACTTTGCCAAAAAATACTGGCTGCTTCAAGTTGGCATGAATTCAAGAGAAGACTGAACAAAATTCAGAGCTGAGATCTCTTTGGCTTAGTAAATACAGCGAAAACATACATAGCTCAGGAAATCCCCCAAACTAAATATAGTTGGAGCCCAGGACAGTATTCAGGGGAAGTGCTTGTTCTTCCTGGCCTATAACCACTGTGGAGAAAAAACTCAGTGTTGGAGGATCCTTTTTCTGACCTAGCACAGCCACTCTCGTATACTTAACATTACAAATATCCCGTCTAATACAGGCTACCATGCTACCATGTGTGTGGGAGCTGGCATGCATCTGCCAGTGTTGAGAAGTGTATCTTCATCATACAGGTCAGCCTGAAATTCTTCATCTAACAGTTAAACCCACTAAGTTCTGAGATTGATCCAATACAGTAACATTTGGTTTGACAGTTGCAACTTCTGCTTTCATATCCGTTTCCTTCTTTCTTGCATAGTCTGGTAGCTGAACACAGTGAACATAAGGATGATTCCTCTCCTATGCAATTTTAGTATTTGTCTTTGAAACTCTCTTCAGGTAACTTAAAGTTGTTTTCCGTAAGTCTTTTAGGCAAGAATCTGCTTTCCCCACAACTTACGTGTATAACATTTTCCATTTTATTACCTTTCACTTTCTCTTTCCTATAGAAGAGCTATTGAGCCAAAGCAGATTTCTTGCTTGTGTAACCTAAAGACTTTGACTTGTATGCACTGAAGCAGATATCTGTGACAGCTTAGGGCAGCACTGCTTCCAGGGGTCTGTCTCTGCTAGAGGTGGCCCTTCACTTCATACGTGACAAACAGGCACATGTGACTCTTCCCTGCAGTAGCAATTTCCAGTCTGGTGTATCAGCTTACGCTGCCACTCCAGAATCTGGGCTCAGCATGTTTATTATCCAAATAGCCCTTAAAGAAACATAACGGTGGGGCATGACAGGCTGCTACGAAGAACGTATGGCAGGTGCACGCTTTGTATGCAGAAGCCTAAGTGTCATTTGACAGTGACTCAGAAGACTGTTTCTTATTCAGGCCACATTCTTTTAATACCAAAGTGCAAAGCCAGCTGTTAGGTAACCTGATCAAAGCAAGAAATTGTGTAGCTAAGCGAGAAACCCACTCTTTGCCATACGCACAAAAAGGGATAATAGCTCTCTAGCACAAAAATAATCCTGGCGAAGTCCAAGGTAAAAATCATGGATGTTAAAAGCCAGAAAGTCATTTTGTCCCACTAAACCCTGGTTGTAGACAGACAGTGCTCCTGCAGGTTTTCAGGGAAGCATTCTGCCTCCAGACTCAAACAGCAATACTGACTGGTGTGAAGAGGCAGGGAACAGATAGGATTCCTTTTTGTCTCTACTTAGGGTAACAAAAACAGAGAACTCCCTTTGATTAGGAAACTACATACTTTACAAATGGGAGCAACATTCTATAAAGAAAGGCAATACAGGCACATACTGCTATATGATATTTGTATTGTTTTTTTTCTGTTTCTGGTATCTGTCATAGATTTAATATTGTTTTGTAAATATGTGGACAAGCCTAAGGCTAGCTGTAGCACTCAAGATACTTATAATACATTCAAATTAGGAGATTAGCATTCAGATATTGAGATAAAGCACCAAAAAGAATGGAGGGAAAAAAAAAAATATCTCTGTAGTCTTGTACCTGAACACTACTTAAAATACCACTCAGGAGAGCAGTTTATGGGTTCTTCTTTCCAAAGAGTCTTCAGACGCTGGGCCCAGGCAATCAGCATCTCCTTCCTCTTCTCCTCAGAGACATATTCCGGAGCGAAGCAGATATGAGGTGCAAGGACTTTGACACCACAAAAGTGCATGATTCCATGCTGGACTCAAAGCAAAGAAAAAGATGCCTCAGGAAATAGTTAGTCTTTCACTTTCAGTTAAAGCATGTGGAAGATTCAAATCTGAAACTGTTTCTCTGACCTGTTTTCTAAACCTGTGCATTTATGAGGAGAAGGGAAATAAATTACAAAACTTCATTACCTATCCTGGCAGTCGCTATTGAAGGCTAGGCATTAAGCAGAGTGACATACAATACACTGAAAAATAAGGTCAACTTCATTTATTCTGCTCTGTGGAATTTATTTTTATGTGCTATTAAACCCACAGAACTGTTCTCTTTGGCTGCTATATGCTATTAATTTTGCAAGGATCAGAGAAAGCCTAAAGTTCATTGTACTGTTTGAATCTCCACAGATCATTCCTGCACTGCAGTGTATTTCTCATCTACTTTTAAATATTTTTTTTAACTTTTTGCCTCTGGCTTAGCCAAATGATCCTGAACAAAGGCTACTGCCTTTCGAATCAGCTCAACTTGCCATTTTCCCTCTGTGTATTTCTGAATTCACAGCTGCATTTCGCGCTCTTTGTCATGTTGACTTGCAAGCTCTGCAGCTAGATAGCCTCACAAGGGCTGACAGCTAGTAATCACAGTGGGTAGGAGACAAAGAATTTAAGGACATCTGTTGTGTTATATGAAGAAGTAGCTGGCACAGTTTGGCTCACCACCTACGTTTCTCAAAGCATGCTTGCTACTTCTGACAAAAGGGTAGCAATAAGAGAAGGCATGCTAACTTTTGTGCACTGATTGTTAATGCCAGGATAATATGCGACTACCCTCCTGCCCCACATCCTACATGAATCAGGTAGCAATGGGGAAAAGAAATCCTGCATGCTAGGGCTAAAGGCAATCCTATAGCTCCAGAGAAACTTAAAAGGCTGACAGTACAGGCTTTCTCCACATTCCAGTCTGGAGGAAGGAGCACAAAACAATTTTAAAACTCTGGACTTTTAAAGTAGTCTCCGGATTTTAGGGCCCAATTTATAACCTGTAGATCCTTGGAATTGACAACATAATTCTTTATTACATCATATTACATCATATTACATCATATTTTATATAAAATAAACAATAATGCAACTGTTAAAAATAATGAAATAATAAAAATTAAGGCAAACAACAACCAAATATTCATATAGTATACCTGCATGGGCCACAGGAGATAGCGAATATCACCACTGATACCTCCTTTTGCATACATCTCTCTGCTTCCTCCAGTGGTGAAAGAAAACAGGGCTAATTTGTTCTAGAATTAAGCAAGCAGTGCTTGAGTTAGGCATTTTTAAAGAAGAATGGCTGAATAGTTCAAGAGATATTCAGGGGAACCTGGACAGCATAAATTTCTAGAGGAGGTGGTGTCCTCTTCTTTCGTAGACCTTGTGTATAGTGGCAGCTCTGAGGCAAGGATTGACGGTATACAAGAAGACAGTGGACTGTGTGTCAGGGCTTTGGGCAGACAGGTTAAAAAGAAAAAGAATTGCATGTCTGACGCCCTTGTGTGAAACAGGGCTGACCCTTGTTCTCCCCTATATTTTGAAAACTGTGGCTGGAAAGCACCCTGTTACTGAGAGTATCTTTATTCCTGTCCTTCCTGAATGCAGAAATTGAATGTTACAGCCCCCCTTCAAACTTAGGCTTGCCTGTCACTTGCTGAGGAATAATTTGAGAACAAAAAGCCCCTGTGTTTCTTCTGCTTCTGTAACTATGGTATTAGCCACGGGCTTGTGCTCGGCTTCTATCCTCTCAGTTTTAGCTTCCGTAATTGAAGTAACATTTTTCCAGTGCAGTATCCAAACTGCCTTGAGCCCGCACTCAGCATGCAGCTATGATCATTGGGGATTACTCCTATTCAGGAGTGAGTGAGGCACCCATTTCTGAAATTTAAACAAACTGAAATGTTTGGGATTGTTAAGAAGATCAGAAATTACAGAGATTAATATGCAGCAAACATAAATGTGGAACTAATATTGATTGTTTCTGGATGCTGCAGTTGTTACCAAGTAAGATCCATCAGACAGTGGACCAAAAATTTCCAGGGATATTCCCAGTGCCATGAAGAATTAAAAAAATTATGAACTGTTATCTAGAGATACTGATCTTGCCTACTTTGTAAACTACAGGAGAGAAGAAAAGGTCAAAAGGAGGTAGTTGGGACAGAGGCTCATGCAGTGGGCATTTCGGGTTTCTGATTAAGTTTTATAATTTAATTCCATCGTTTGACACCTAATCCAGGATCTTGTCATCTACTCTAGTATGTCATTCATTACAGATTTGTGCATTCCTATGGTAGTGGGAAGAATGGTAGTCTATAGTTTCAGGAAATGGATTAATTTAAACTGTTTGCAAGCTGTATGCCATCCCAGTGCACTCTGATACGCCTACCAAATTATAAAGCCCATTTTGTAGGCCAACTAGAAATCTCTAGGAGATTGCTTGAATCTTTAGGAACCACTGTGCTGTCCTTACTACCTTTCCAACAGTTTTAACAAGCCAGAAAGTTGCTCAACATGTTACCAAAGCATTATTTCAGGAGAGTGTCAAGTGAAAGCTTTAAACAAATATAATGGAAAAGAAAGACCAATACTCTCAAGAGCACTGTGCAAATCTTGATCTTAATAAAACAATCTCAAAAACATACCTTGAGCAAACCGGAATCGTAACAGTTTGGATATTCATGAGCAAATCCTTGGACCAAGACTCTATCCATCCAGCCCTTCATGATTGCCGGCATGCTGAACCAATACAAGGGAAACTAGGCAAAAAGTAAATTACCTTGTTAGCACAGAGAGTCTGGGCCATCATTAGGCCTGGTCTACAGGCCAAATCCTATCCTCTTAATCTGTTCAGATCTTGTACATGCCTTCTTCCAGCTCTCTGTCAGGAGAGGCAGTAACTATGCTTGGCAAAAATAACCAAAGTGCTTTCTGTTTGTAGTAGTCTTGGGTACATACCTGAGCATCTATAGCACACTAACACCATGGTGAATGTGAGGGCTTCCATACAAATTAAAGTCGGAGTAAGATGAAGCAGGAAGGTGCTATTTAATTCAAACTCAAGACTGTACAGAATTGCATCTCCTATTGCTGAAATGCAAAAGGAACATATGATCTAATGGAGAATGTGGCCAAAGTGCACATGGAGAGCCTTATTACCAGCACCGACATCTGGTGATGAGTTCTGATCTGACAGTCTGCTGACAAATGCCATGGGATCTTAAGAAAAACTTACTTTCACACCACACTGACATGATGACCCTGAATTACTTTATTGAGAAGAGAACTACTTCTTTAACAGTAGGACCCTCTGCTTCTAGATCTTCCAGTTAGCTCATGGGACTACAGCCTAAAACTATGATGTCTTATTTGTATTATCTTGAATGATTTATGGACCCTTATTCTAGGATGAATTGCTATCCCTAAACCTTTGCACACGCTGCAGTACAGAAGAAGAAATTCTATAAAAGCTTAACCACATGTGGCTTAATTCAAGATGGAAACAATGTGGAAACTGGGCAATCAATACTATTTCTATAAGTGGTGAGTTTAGTCTGTATTAAATTTTTAATTACTTTATGGCGTCTTTCAGAGGCATATTTTCTTTCTTTTTTCCTGCACCAGAAGATACTCAACTCTTCACAGCATTATATAGACAGAAAGCAGAAAGCAACCACTTCCTTTAGGGGATGTTTTACTATACTTATCTCAGAAGCTATAGTGCAAGAATGATGAAGACTTACAGTGAAATGCTTAATTGAGATATGGTTACAGCCTAAATTTCATCTAGAATCGGACAGTGGAATATATATAGGCTATGCCTAAGGCCAGCAGTCACACAGGCACACAAAGGTATGTAAGGCTAGTGTTGCCTTATACAGTACTTCTGTGACTTGTAGATACTGAGGACAGAGCTGGCACACTGGAGAATGGAGATGGGGTGTAATGATCCGTTAGCAAGTTTAGATATTGCTTCTGCAACTGAGCAATAAATGAGGACAGTCTGGTCGGGGAAGTCCAAATTCCCCAAGCCTTTTGGCTGCTCCCAGCTGCTTGCCCAGAAAAAATGCCTTGCCCTGTTTTCTGCCAGCCTGCCTGACATCCGTCTTTGTGCATCCAGATATTAAGTTTGGCCCAGTGTTGGTGAATTACTGGATTTGCTGTTGTTTCAACCTAGATAATTGATCCTCCGCCCAGAAGGAGGATTCAGGGATCTACAGGCCGTCAGCTTGACCTCAGTACCAGAGAAAATTACAGAGTGGCCCATCTTGAGGGCGCTTACAAGGCATGTGCAGGACAACCAAGGGATCAGGCCCAAGCAGCATGGGTTCATGAAAGGCAGGTCCTGCTTGACCAACCTGATCTCCTTCTATGACCAGGTGACCCACCTAGTGGATGAGGGAAAGGCTGTGGATATTGTCTACCTGGACTTTAGTAAAGCCTTTGACACTGTCTCACACAGCATTCTCCTGGCTTAGGTGCACTCTTCGCTGGGTAAAAAATGGAC